CATTCGCTGGCTGGGGAATTCTGGGAGTTGAAGTCCGGACATCTTCAAGTTGCCAAGGTTGAAAAACACTGGTATAAGGAACATAAATGTTAACTCATGATGAATGAGCATATGTAAATTCAGGTTTCCATATTTATAAAATCCTTCTGGACAGAACTTTACAACAGAATGTTGCATCATGTTTAACATTTATGTTTAGAATTAACTTTTATGCAACTGTCAGCACAAACAAAGATACACATGTTTTCTCATCTCAAAGTGAGTGAGAATGTTTCTTCTAGCTCAATTGAATGATTCTTTCCAATTCTTAAGCTACAAGTAAGTGTCCCCAATTCTCATTCTCCAGATACCTAGAAACTTTTATGCCATATATAGTATTCTAGGTGGGATTCAAAAATTTTACTACCGGTTCTGTGGACATGGCTTGGTTTGGTGGGCGTGGTGTGGCTTGGTAGGCATGGGTTGGTGGGCATGGCATGTAAAATCTTCATTCCCACTCCACTCTATGGAAAGGATGCTGCAAAATCCCCATTCCCTCCTGATCAGCTGGGACTTGGGAAGCAGAGAATAGATGGGGACAGGGCCCGTGAGAGGTGGTATTTACTGATTCTCAGGACTACTTAAAATTTCTGCTACCGGTTTTCCAGAACTGGTCAGAACCTGCTAAATACCACCTGTGTTATGGTAGTACATATCATAGTACATATTACGTAGTGGCATTAAAGACACTGAAAGAATTTGTACAGATAGGCTAAGGCAGGGCTGTCATATTCCTGGCCTGCAGGCTGGATGCATCATGTGCTAGCCACACCCAGTTTAGTGATGGGGAAAATCCTGATATGTCACGTAACACTGCCTTAACGATGCAAGTTTGAATCCCTGGACTAAGGCATCAATCTACCAGTATGGGTAGATTCACTTCAGAAGCAGGTCACTATTGGCTGATTTAAAACATCCAGATATTATTATAATTTTTAACATAACAAAAATATGCTCATTTTTTCTTGTCCAAATACGTGTTGAAAATACAAAGCCCTTGGGTACTAATTATATATTGCCTAATGAAGAATTCTGGAGACCTTAATAATTTTCATTCTTTGTTAGCCACAAATATGCAACTATGCATTCCCCCCCCCCCCAAAAGATCAATGTGGTTATAATTGCTTTTTAGTAACACATTCTCATTTGTGATATATATTTATGTAATAATATTTTGACTGGCATATGTAAAGCTTGATAGCCTTCCCAGAGTGTTAAACTATTATATATCTCCATAATTAATTAAATAAAATGTAAAAAATATTGTGGTGGGTTGATATAGAAAAATTACAATTAAGTTTTATGTTCATTCAAACATTTAAAATAGTTGAGAAATACTTTACCACTTACCAAAGCATAAAATAAGATACCAAATTTTCTTGTTACTGAATTAGCATGATTTATTTCACTTGATCCTCCCAACCATGATCATATCACCTGCTTCTATATTTATAGCAGATATGAATCAATAAATTAACAGCATTAATCAATTTATTATTATTTTGTAATTTTTTTCTGCATTAATCTGTGGAGGGAAGGATGATTGTTTCCTTTTAAAATTAAAATTTATCATTGATTCTCTGAAAGGTTTTGGTACCATACAAATTAAATCAGTAAGATTGTCAATGGAATAAAATATTCACGGTTCAGTGGTCTCAACACTCTGATCCTATGTATTGATTTATCACTTTCTTGACTGAACAGAGCATCCAAAACGTGCCTCAGTGATGAATGTGCATGGAAGCCATCACTTTAAAATTGCCTATTTTATCTTCTGAACATATAGAGGTAGAAATTATAGAGACCTCGCATTCCTACCTACTAAGCTTTCCATAAAATAGGCCAAAACATTTTGACTCTATTTTTCCCACTGCAGTCACTGTATCACTATAGATGGCCTACTGTGTTTTTTTCAGAAAATCCAGAGATTCTTCTCTTCAATCTTAATCAATGCTTAATCAATGGGCAGAATGGAAACAAAAATTGCATATATCAGACCCTCTGTTGCCCAATTGTTCTGCTGTTGCCTATTTCACCAGCGACTGAACTGATATTGAAATGACCATGGAGAAGATATGCAGGGACCATTTGTAAAACATGAGCTCAGGCCAGGAAAACAAGAAAGTGTAAGAAATAAGCTTAACATTGTCTGCCTTGAGTCCCTAGTACAGGAGTGTCAACCTCACGTCGTCACGGTGGTGTCAGGTGACGTATGGGGACTTTTTTCTCCCTTCGCTAAACTGGGTATGGGCATGGCCCATGGCCAGGAGTTTGGCAGCCCTGCTCTAGTGTAAGAGGACTGAAGGGTAAATGATGTCAAGCTTTCAAGACATGAATATATCCATGATGGCGAACCTATGGCACATGTGTCAAAGGTGGCATGCAGAGCCCTCTCTGGCCACGCATGCCATCGCCAGCTGCTCTTCTGGTTTCCGGCACAGCCAGTTGGTCTTTGCAGGTGCCGGAGCACCTGAAAATGGCCCCAAAACAACCAAACCAGGCTGTTTTCAGGTTTGAAAAATGGCCAAAAAACAGATATGCGCACCGGCCAGCTGTTCTTGGGGTTTCTGGTGCATTCCAGTTTGGACATTCAGTGCCCAAAAGGTTCGCCATCACTTCCTATATCAATAGTATAGTTCTAGTATTTCTTATGGTGTCTGTTTCCTTATCAGGCTTACCTCAAAGGTTTAAAAACTAGGCATACAAAGCATAGGAACTAGAACTGAGCTACGTTCCTTCCCTGAACATTTTCTCTGATAGACGCTTCCTGATTTAATCTCTGCATGACATTTAAATTTTATTTACAGATAGAGAAATGGAGAAATAATACACTAAAGTATACATAACAGTAATTAATATTTACTTTACATTTATGTTTGAAGGGATGGGAAAGACATGGTGGATATTGCTACAAGATTGATACAATCCCTCGAAGCTTTGAACATGCATCCAGTGGCTATTACTGTCCTTCACTTGCAAAAATAACAAGCAGGTAGCTCAATTTACTCAACAATGGAGACTTTCCTGTGGCATTGAAACAGGGGTGGAATAATTATTTTACAGGCTAAGAGTAACTGAAAGCAAATACTCAATTTGCCATTATTTGATTCAAGATGGAATTGGATGGAATTGGATAGAAATCACTTCATCTGGATTGTTCAATGACAAGCAATTATTCATCCATGAAAGAATTCTGTTGTCTTATTTCTTAGAATTCTGATTTTCAAAATCTTCATTATGTGAAATAGCTCAACGTTTGCTAACAATCCTAACAAATATAGCCTTATTCTCTCCTATTGCAGCTATTTTATGCAAGTTGTTTACATTGTTAAATTGTGTATGAACAACTAGCTTTAAGCAATAAGAAAGAATATTCATTTTTTTAACAGGAGAATATTTCTTACCTTAGATGTAATTCAGTTATATGACTTCTCTTGAGGCAGGGGAAACAAAATTGTTTATTCACTTATATATCAAAGAAATAATCCATTTGATTAGTCATCTATACTAAAAAGGGGGTCTTCTGAACTGAATTAATTTTGTATTGTATTGAAAATTGAGTTGCTTGCTTTTATATGTGGTTAGCAATTTTGGGATTATATAGAGGTATGTAAAGCACATCTACCAGTAGATGTTTAAGTTGGGTTGTTTTTTTTTTTGTAACTTCAGTCATTCATTTTTTGCTGTTGTGATTGTCAGGCATAAAAGACTCAATCTGGATCAGAATTGTAGGGCTGGACAAGTGTGAAACACCCCTGTGCCCCCAGGGCTACACTCCAGTCATACCCTTTGCAATTATCTAGAGCAGAACTAGGTACAAAAAAAAATGATTAGCTATATTTTTTAAAGTGGAAGAATAACACACTAACCATGCTATTTAGAACTTTGGGGGATTACTACTATATATATATGAGTAATAAGTAAGTCATTTAGGCTTTATGATTCAAAGCCTCATATTACAATTAAAGTGTCAAAATAAGCAAGTGAAGCCATACTGTAGTAGGCTAATTGGCATTTGAGATTATTTTCCAAAATACATTTAGAAAGCCTGTGCCATGTAGAAGTTAGCTGACTTTTCTTACAGCAGCAGACTGAATAGGTCTTTTCCAATCTAGTAGCCATCCCTGGAGTAACTAGAAACATGTTTTATTTCAGCAGCATGGCTCTTGAGTACTTAATGCTGTTTAAAGTCATATTTTTGCATCTGGAATATCTTGTGCCTATGGAATTTAGTTTCTTTCAGTACATTGCTGTTAGGAAAGATTGTTCCATTAAGCGCTATTCTTTTCTATTGCTGAAAAATATGACAAAAGCTACTTCGTAAATTATAATTCAGGGTATTTAATTACTTTCAATAATATTAAATCCTATAAGGTTTGAACAAGGTTTCCTGAACAGTATGATTCATCACCAAGGGAACACTGACGGTCCTTATTTTTGGATAGCACTTCAAGATCTAAACAATACAGGGGAATATACTTGGCTTACTGAAGATGGAAACCATCATCTTGAGATCTACACAAACTGGAGAAAGTATCAACCCAGTGAGTTGAACCTTTTGTCCATTGGTAATTAATTACTGTTAGTAATTTTTTGTAGGGATATACTTACCAATTTTCTGCACTTTCTAATTTTCCAATCTTTAATTGGTTTGTCTTGCTTTAAATAAGAGTTGAAGTTTTTTTTAAAGTAACAATCAAATGTGCATTTAAATATTCAAAAAATACTTTGTTTCAACAGTTAAAATAAAATGGCATTCTTTTTATACAACAGATTTAAATATTTGACAACCTTGAGTTACTTCAAAGGTGAGAAATAAAGTACCTGTCACTCCTGATTATTATTACCCTTATTTGTGAAGGGAGTTTTACTCTAGCAATAACTGGAAACATCTTGAGATGTTTCCAACCCAGCTGTGACTTAAGAAAAACATTAGCTAAGAGAGGAGCAACTATTTTCTAAGCAAGTTAATAAGAAGCGTGGTAGTTAAGGTAAAAGGTAAAGATTCCCTTCGCACATATGTGCTAGTCATTCCCGACTCTAGGGGGTGGTGCTCATCTCCGTTTCAAAGCTGAAGAGCCAGGGCTATCCAAAGACGTCTCCTTAGTCATGTGGTCGGCATGACTAACCGCCGAAGGTGCACGGAATGCTGTTACCTTCCCACCAAAGGTGGTCCCTATTTTTTCTACCTGAATTTTTACATGCTTTCGAACTGCTAGGTTGGCAGAAGCTGAGACAAGTAATGGGAGCTCACTCCGTTACGCGGCACTAGGGATTCAAACCACCAAACTGCCAACCTTTCTGATCGACAAGTCTTAGCCACTGAGCCACTGCGTCCCTTCAGGGTAGGAGTTACCTCTACTTAATTGTATATATGAAGAATTCTTTAAAAAAAATGGATGAACCTGAGCACTGTTTCTGTTTATTGAAAAAATAGTGTAAAATCAGGAAGCAGCAGTTAGAGAAGAATATATAACAACTAACTTGCTCAAAATTGGAAAAAAGAGTGTTGGAATGTTATATTCTCTCCCTTCTTTTATTAGACTAACTTACATGCAGAATCTGTCTTGAGAAATGTGAACTAGAAGAAATTGAAATTAAACTCAAGAACTTCAGTAATTTACTGACATCATTTGGATAGCTGGAGGCAAGGAACACTTAGGTAAATTGTTGCTAAAGGTAGAAGAAAAAGGTCTGTTGTTTAGTGTTAAAATAACTCCTAAGGTTATATCACTACACAGTGTCAACAAATCGAAATAGATAGAAAAGAAATTGAAAATAGTAGCAAACTGTCTTCCTACTAGGCTCAAAAATACAGAGGCATGATGACTGTAGTCATTAGAGAAAAAGATGTTTGCTGCCTGGAAGAAAGGCCAACATAGCTAGACAAAATATTAACGTGCAGAAACATCACTCTGACAAAAATATATCTATTATGAAGGCCAATTTTCCAGTTGTAACATATGACTGAAAACTAGACCATCAAAAATACTGAAGAAAAAAATATCTCTGAATTATGATTCTGGAGAAAATGCTGGGAATAACAAATTATTAAATTGATGAAGCAAACTAGACTGCTTTGTGGAACTATTCACAATAAAGTCTAAAATATTAAAAACTCATAATGTGAAAGTAGGAGACATTGGAGAGGACCATGATGCTTGACAAAAATGAAGTCAGTTGAAAAGGAGGTTGAGACAAGATGATCAACTTATGTCAGTGATGACATAAGATACAATCAATGGTTATACAAGTATAAACATTTAAGAACTCAGAGATACACAATCCTAGTATCAAGATGTCCATTGGATTCCAAAGCACTGGAATCAACTGAACAATTGAATAACAACATGAGCTAATTTTGAGTAGAAAAATGTTTGTTTGTAAGTAATCAATGCAGTAACACAGCACTGTATTTTTATACAGTTCAGTTGTCTGAATGTTTACTCAGAGCATTCAATGATGTGTTATTCGATGATTAGAGCTTATCTGTATAACATGAAACTTCATTTTATTTTTACTAAAGGAAGTGTCATGCACATGTTTGAGGGTTTAACACTTCTCTGTATGCTCCAGCTTTCACAATTGCCTTTCCCCATATTCTTGGTTTTAAAAAAAACCTCTCTATCGGTATTAGTGACAGTGAAGGTTACCATGTTTTCCCCAAAATAAGACAGGGTCTTATTTTCTTTTTACCTCCAAAATAAGCACTTGGCCTTATTTTTGGGGAGGTCTTATTATTTTTGAGGTGCAGTAGGCGACGAGCATGGTCACCTCATGGCTGCTGCTGTGTTGCAATATTTTTGGGGAGGGCTTATTTTAGCACATGCACTCAAAAGCCCAATTGGACTTATTATCCGGGGAGGTCTTATTTTCAGGGAAATGGTTTTTTTTAAAAAAAACCAATTCAGTTGGATCATTCAGTTGGATCTTGAAATAAGACAAATAGGGGAAAGATAAGAATAGCAATGAAGATTAGCTGCATATTGCATGGTTAACATAACAGAATGCAACCTAACATAATAAACTTTGACCTGAATGCTAACATCTTAGAGTAATATAGATAGATAGATAGATAGATAGATAGATAGATAGATAGATAGATAGATAGATAGATAGATAGATAGATATATAGATATATAGATATATAGATATATAGATATATAGATATATATACATGCACACACACATGTACATACATATGTACATACATACGTACATACATACATACATAATTTTAAAGTTACATTGGTAACATAAGACTCTTATTAATTCCATGTATATTTGAAACAGCATTTTTAGTTTTTGAAGAGAATTATTCTTATTTTTCAAGAGTGACCTCTACTGGTTAAATAAAGTGAAAATATAAATTGCTTTCAGAGCATTGTTATTAGGCAATGTGGCATTACAATTTTATCCTAGATAATTAAGGATTTAGAGGGAGCTAGCCAACCTTGATTGATATCAAAACCTATCAGAATAAAATCTGATTAGTACTATGATTAAGAGACTAGCAGAAAATAATCTAAAACTGGGGAGTTAAAAAAGTAAAAAACAAAACAAAGCGAGTAGCAAATCATTTACATATTGTTGCTAAGAAAGCAATCTATATGTCACCAGGTAGTTTCTTAGAGTTAAGATCAACTCAGAGAAGACTTCATTTTTTTTAATCTGTATTTTTTAAATAATGTTTCAGTAAATTTTATGACAAAATTTCTATATGAAAATTCCATGTTTATAGTATACTTTTATAGTATAGATTCTGACACTCAACTAAGGTAATAAGAGCTATGATGAAGTTGTAGCAAAGGAAATGACAGCGAAAATGGCAACATAGCTTCAAGTATATGTCAGCTTGATAATGGCCAAGTAATGTATACTTAGACTTAGTGTCAGCCCTGGAGACCATCTTTCTCTTTGGATCTTCAGGGTTGCCACGTTTTGTGCATAGGCCTGATGTGGGAAACTGGGAGTGGGTAGAGATAGATAACCAAAATAACATTCTTTTCTCTGGGAGTCAAGGACGTTCAGCCTGCACCTGGAGAGGCGTGACTGGGAAACATGACCAGTTGGGACCGTGAATTGATTGCACCATGTGATTGACTTGTGGGTGCAGGGGAAAGCTTTGACTTTCCTTTGGGTAGGGAAAATCCGGGGTGCTTTCAGATTAGGGTTTACTCAGATGTGCCAATTTGACATCTCTAATAAAATGGAACTTTGAGGAACTGCTGGCCCTGGAGTCTTATTTGGTTAGGGGTGTTTCTTGGAACCCTGACACTTAGACTTAGACTAACTTCATTGTCACTTTGAATGTACACTAATTGGCATACATTAAAATGAAATTTTGTTGCATACAGCTCTCAAAGGGTCTCCACTTACAATATATACTACATAAACATGACAAAATAAATAAATGAATAACACAAAATTATGCATATACCCACATATCTTATATGACATAGAAACAATACAGTCTAGTTCGGATTTATACATGTACAGGACAAGAGAAACGAATCTTACGAGTTTACCAGACGGATGGCATAGGGAACAAAACTGTTACAGAACCTGGTAGTCCTGCTAGAAATACTTCGAAATCTCCTCCCAGAAGGAAGTGACAGAAACAGACTGTGAAGTGGGTGTGTGAGGTCTCTAACAATTCTTTGCACATAGCGCTTATAAGCAGTATCTTGAATGACAGGAAGCAATCTTCTTGGTTGTCCTCACCACTCTCTGAATGGACTTTCTCTCTGAGGCACTGCAGCCACCAAACCAAACAGTAATGCAATTAGTTAGTATAGTTAGTATAGTTTCCAAGTCTTCATATATTTGTAGCACAGTAAATATTTAAAAGGATCATTTCTGGTCATGATTAGAACGGTTCCTAGATAATTTTCAGTGTAGGTACATTTTGGGGGGGTCTAAGACAACTTGCCATGGCCAACTCACCATGGCCAATATTTGAATAATATCCAAATTATCCTGTCAAGAATTTTAATTTATATTGCAAAAATAGAACTGAACCAGCTAATGTCTGTATTCCATCATGAATTATTTACAGCTTAAACAATGAACTGCAAAAAGAAATGAGGCAACTTTACTTGCTGAGCATTTGACAGAATGGATTATACTTGAGAGCACACAATACTATAATAAATTAGCTTCATCCACCTAGCCTTGAAATTCTTTGTCTAAAATTATTTTCTAAGCCAAATAAGGGGAAAAAATCCCCAATGCAAAAAAAGAGCTACATTTCATCGGTAACATATCATGATGTTTAAAATAGCTGAAAGAGCTAAAATCTTTTTCCTTTCCAGGACAAATTTTAGTAACTAGACAACAAGACATAATTGTAGTCTATAATATTACAATTATTCTTAACACTAAAGATTTGGGACATTTTATGTACATTTTGTATTGGGAAAAGTAATAATTGTACTTATTGATAAATATCTTTGCTCCTTCTACTCTGTTTTAGGATATCCTGGCGGATGCGTTGTTATGCGACAGGAAGAACCCATTGGCATGTGGGAGGTGAAAAATTGTACAACCTTCATGGCTAAATCACTGTGTAAACAAGATGCTAATTTCCATGAAAAGAGTGATACCAGGAAGCAACCAAATTATGATGAAGGTTTTAATTCTTGCATGCATGGATGGGAATCAGACCATTATCTGCTGAACTGCTATAAGGTGAAAAATATTGAACAATTTCATGGAAAACCAAATGAAATGAATCTAGACATCCATTGCCATTTTAATAAAACATGGGATAATAATAAAAATATGTGCCACTGATTTTATTAATTAAAAATCAATAGTCTAATTTTATTATTAATACCCCTAATTTGTTTCTAATTTAGAGAATAGGCTAGTAAAATATTATCATGTTTTGTGGTTCTTTAGTATTAAGCTGCCATCCTAGAAGACACCTTCATTGATGATGGATGCTCCTTGCAAATTGATTATGTGCTGACAAGATAGTATCAATTCTTGACAATCACATACAACAGACAGATTTTCTTCATGGTGCTTTTTCCCTAACTTGGTCCTTCAGGTCTTCCAAAGATGACTTCTCTAGAGAGCTTGGTCTTCATATATCCAAAATAGGATAATCTGGGCCTAATTATTTGTGCCTCAAGTGAGAACCCTGTATTTATTTGAGAGATTTCTTTGTTCTCTCAGCTGTCCATGATGTTCACTTTTTTCCAACACCAAAATTCAAAAATGTCAATACTCTTTTCTAAACTATTTCTTCATAGTCCAGCTTTGTGAATATCCATATTAATATATATGTGAATAAATAAGATACCATGTAGCATAGGGGTCCCCAACCTGTGGCCTGTGAGAGGTTTGCAACCTGGCCACAGAAATAACTGGCAAGCACACATGCGCATCTTCACTTGTGTGAGCTGTGAGTGAGTGTGTGTGCTTGCTCCATTTGTGTGAGCGGCAGGCACACATGCATTCTGCTTGCACAAATGGAGCTGCACGTGCATATGAACAGCTTGTGTGAAACCATCCCCATTCCCCCTTGCCAATCCGCAAACCCTGAAACATTGGGAATCTGATGTAGAGCATCATCTGCCATTTTATCTACTTTAGATGAATAATAATAATAATAATATGAAAAAACCTTTAAATTATAATATATCTTTTTTTAATATTTTTTTATTTTTAATTTAAAACAAACACAACATCCTTCTTTACATGCTGTAGAAAGTGTATCAATTGGTTACAAAAAGACTTTTGTACATCTCTTCCACAATCAACAAACATAATCCATCTTAACTCAAGCATTTTGACTCAAATATTTATACATGTCACTATCATCATATCTCCATTTTCATTTGAC